CTGGTTCATTCCCATGGCCTACGCCCCCTCTCTTCAAACTATCACCTCGACCCCCACCGATGATCCTGTTACCTATATTCCTGGGAAAACAGAAGCCACCAGAGAGCACTGCCACAAGCTGCCAACATCACCTCGCAGGCTCCTGCTCCCTGTACCTCCTCTCCTGTGACTATGAACAAAGTGGGGTTCCCAGCTCTGCACCTATGCACAGATCCCTCTCTCCCGCCTGCTCACGGGCACTGCCCCAGCAGGTCTCCCCTCTTCTCCTGCTTCATGGCCAGGATGCCCTAACTTCCCCCATCAGTTCAAACATTCTTCCTTCACCCTACTTCCCCTTCAGTTATTGCCTTATTTTTCCCTTCACTTTTTGCAAATTCCTTAAAAAACTATCTATACTTGCCGGTCCGGTGTGACTCAGTGGTTGAGCATCGACCTGTGAATCAGGATGTCACGGTTCAATTCCTGCTTGGGGCACATGCCCCGGTTGTGGGCTTGATCCCCAGTGGGGGGCAGGGAGGAGGCAGCTGATCAATGATTCTCTCTCATTATTGATGTTTCTATCTCTCCCTCCTCTTCCTTCCTCTCTGAAATCAATAAAAATATTTTTTTAAAAACTATCTATACTCACTATCTCCATCTCTCTCCTCCTTTTCTCTTGAACTCAATGCTACTCCACCCACACTGGCCCTATCAAAGTGACCTCCACATTGGTAAACACAACAGTCAATTCACAGTCCTGGTATTGACCTCTCAGCATAGCTGATCACTCCTTCCTTTTTCAAACGCTTTTACTTGGTTCCCAGGAAACCTCACTCTGGTGGCTCCCCAGTCTCTGTCTGTAAATGCCGGGTGCCCCAGCGCTCAGATCTGACCTCTTCACTCCCTCCCTCAAGGGGGTTATCTATCCAGAGTCATGACTCTCCATCTCCTGCTAACAGCTCCCAAGTGTCCAATAAAAAATACAATAACTCAAATTTTAAATGGGCAAAGAACTTGAATAGACATTTCTCCAAAGATATATAGATGGCCAATAGGCACATGAGAAGATGCTCAACTTGATTAGCCATCAGGGTAATGCAAATCCCTCCACACATCCACTAGGATGCTGTAATAAAAAAGTCAGGCAATAACAAGTATAGACAAGGATGTGGAGAAATAGGAACCCTCATGCATCGCTGGTGGGAATGTAAAATGGTGCAGCCACTGTGGAAAACAGTCTGGCAGGTCCTTAAAGCTAAACAAAATGTCGCCATATCACCCAGTAAATCCACTGCTCGGTATATACCCAAGAAAACATACATTCATATAAACACCTGAAGATGAATGCTTACAGCCATGTTATTCATAATCACCTACTTCCCAAACTCGACACCTGCTTCGCCCTTGCCCCCCAAATAGCTGTTTTCAGTGTTCACAATCTCAGTAAATGACAATTGTATTCTTCCAGTCACCCAGGCCAGGGAAGCTGCAGGTCAAGGGTCAGCACAGTGACATTGCTCCTCCAAGCAGGAAGTTTTAGAAATAATGGGCTCTTCTACAATTCTGTGTGCTTTTTCTAATTATCTGAAGAAAAGGCTGCTTTGCTTATCCCTGCTGTAAGAGGTGCCCAGTAAACCCTGGCCAAGCCCAGCCGTAGGTGTGGATACTCCTGTGGGTCTGCTGCAGGCCATCTTCCCATTCTATGCGTTCCCTCTCTGTAATCTCACCCATGACCGTGGCTTTCATGCCACATAAACACCGATTTCCAAGTCTCTACCGTGGGCCAGATCTTCCTCCTAGGCATCACTCAGCTGGCTCTCCAAGGTCTGGGATGGGTCTCTCTATCCCCAGCATGTCCCCTCTCCAGGGTTCCCTCTCTGTGACAGGCACACAACACACCCGTTCCCTTAAGTCACAAAACAGGAGATTCTAAACCAGGGGTGGGGAAGGTCTGGCCCACCAAGGCAACTGCATTTATTATTTACTAGTGGCCCAGTGCACTAAATTCGTGCACGGGGGAGGGGTGTCCCTCAGCCTGGCCTGCACCCTCTCCAATCTGGGACCCCTCCGGGGAGGTCTGACTGAGGGTTTAGGCCCCATCCCACAGGGATCACTATCTGGGACCGCTGGCTCCTAACCACTCATGTGCCTGCCTGCCTGTCTGATCGCCCCTAACCACTGTGCCTTCCGGCCTGATCACCCCCAACTGCCCTCCCCTGCTGGCCTGATCGCCCCTAACCGCCTCTGCCTCGGCCCCACCACCATGGCTTTGTCCAGAAGGACATCTGGAAGGTCTCCCGGTCTACTTAGCATATTACCCTTTTATTAGTATAGATCAGGGGTCCTCAAACTTTTTAAACAGGGGGCCAGTTCACTGTCCCTCAGACCGGTGGAGGGCCGGACTATAGTTTAAAAAAAACTATGAC